TATTTTACTCTTTCATTGAATTAACTTTCAAAAGAAAGAAAATAAAAAGAACTTGAATTTCAAAATCTAGAATTTCACAAATCAAATAGTGATTTCCATTTCAATCAATAGAGGTTTAGGACTGAGGATGACCGTGGCTTGTCGAGAGTGAGATATTAAAATAATGGAGATAGTAGAGAGTGTGAGGCAACCATTTTTGGTAGCCAGTAGGGCATATAGAAAAGGATTGTAATGAAATAAGCGATGGGTTTTGGGTGTGTTAGAAATTAGAATTGGGTTGTGTGGGATGGTTTTTGTTTTTAGTTATCATTTTATTACACATGTATAAATTATCATTTAAAACTAAATTATAACCTTTTTGATAAAAATATCAGCATTTCATTAAATCTTCACTAATGGCCGAAATTACATCAACCACACAAAAATACAGATAGATCTAAAGAACAAATCTTAGATACTACAATATTAAAAATCGATAGAATATTACTGTGAAACTCCAAAAATATCAAAAGATAAAATAGGGAGAATTGCATCAACCGTTCCTCACATGTCACTAATGTAAAAATTTAGTCTCTCAAAATGAAAAGGAGCAATTTTAATCCCTAACAATAAAAAATGATCACTTTTCATCCCTAGTCACTTTTCTAGTTGAATTTTTGCCGGAATCAATCACAAGCACATCACATGATCATTTTTAAACGGTAAATCTAGCAGATCACTTCAAACAATGTTCCTGGTCCAGGTTCTTGCTCCTGAGCTTCTCATAATACTCCGCATAGGGAAATCCGTGTAGAGAACCGGCAAACCATCAGCTGCGAGAAGCCAGTGACAGTCTTGCTTGATTAGCATTGACGATAGCTCGATGCCGCACACTCTTGTAAATCCCATTGCTCAGGCCTATTTTAATTAATTAATCTTGGAAGTTAAATTGTCTTCAAACTGTTACCTAATCTATAGCATTGATGAGGTTGCACATTGTGGGTATTAAGAAAAAAAAAAGGATCCAAACCTGAAACTAATCACCTATATTGAACTTGAAGACCATTCAATATCTTTAAGAACTTGAAGACCGGTGACATTCAAATCTTGAAGAAGAATGCTGAGGCAGTAGGATCAGTGTGCCGAGCAAGCCATAAGTCAAATCAGGTTGTGGACAAGGAGCCATGTGCTGTCCTTTCTCGCCGAATAACTCCTTGATTCAATCCTTTGTCTAAGCCTGGGCTCTCTGCGATGGTTTCCTGTAATTGTACCCAAGTACCTGGTCTTCTACACTGTAATTGCTTATGATTTCCCTGTCAGTCCAAATCATAATATTTCTCGTCACTACGATTTTTAATGAACAGTAAAAAATTTTCTGCAAACTTCCATTTCTTCAATCACACATTATTTGTTATTGTTCTCAAAATTCAATCCTCATCTTTTGAAAAAAATTCTAGAAAAATCTTACTTCATAATAGGCACACCATAGAACTTCTTTCTTGGTTATCAACCGTCCATGAAGCTTTCACCATAGCTGGCGCACTGCAACCAGACCTTGGTAGTTCTGCCGTGGCAAATTCACTTTTTCTTCAATGTTAGATTTAGGGATTGGAAGAATTGAAGAAGATTGAGGAGTAAGACTTCGGTCTTTGGTCAATATTGAAGTGATTAGCAAGATTTACACTTTAAAAATTGGCCACATGATGTGTCTGTGGCTTATTCCAGCCAAATTTTGATGGAAAAAGTGATTAGGGACTAAAATTAATCATTATTTATTTGTCACAAATTAAAATTGATCCTTTCATTCTAAAGGACAAAATTTTCATACTTGCGATATGTGAAAGACAATTGGTGCAATTCTCTCGATAAAATACTTATAACCTCATATTATCTGTGCATATTTTCAATCGTACCGGTTGCTACCTCCTAGATCTACTAATGAAGTTATTCAAGCCCACATATCAAGGTGCAATCTAACAAGGTAGATTTAAAAAAATCTCAAATCTAACAACCAAATTTGTAAAAAACTTAGATCTAATATAAAAAATAAAAAAAATTACAAAACTTTCACTCAAAATCCCTAGGAGAGGAAATAACTCTGATAAGTGCATATTTTACGTGTTTTAAGTGTATTTTATTGGTTAGTTTTGGTGTGTTTTAGTCACTTTTATAACTAATTAATTAGGGTTCTATTGAAAAAAATGTATTTTGTGGTTAAAGTAGTAAAAATTGCATTTTTATGGATTTTTATAGTGAAAGCTTCATTTTTTGTAGGATTAATAATTCAATTATCAAATGGAGTGAGTTGAGAAGATAATTGAATGATTGATGATAGTTTAAAGTGATTTAAAAAAGATATGAAGTGCAAAATACTCAAAAGAAGAAATGCAAGTTTTCCATATTTGACACTTTATCGTATTTTGGCTATATCTTGAGTTACAATGATCGGATTGAGGTGATTCTTATACATTTTGAAGCTAGAGATAGATCTACATTTGGTATGAAGACATTGAAGCCTAGTTCAGTCGTTTTCATTGTTATAAGTCGAAATACAGAAGTGCAATTTCATGATTGAAAGTTGAAATAGAGCTCTGACTAGTCGAGGGTATTTTGATCATATTTTGGTCTATAGGGCTCTACATTGGATGATTCTTGAGGCATTGGAAAGCTAACTCAAAGATCTACAACATTCATATTTATATGCGAGCTAGTTCAGCCTCCATCATCAAGAAATTAGCAGCTAAAAATGGTGCCAAATTCACAAAAGTGAAAACGCGACCAGTGAATATGTGGCTTGAAGTCGCGCATTCCAAGGTCGTGTATTCCTGAGTTTCGGCTGCAGTTTGCTCTGCAAAATTTGTTTTGTTCGCACAAGCTTTTTGTCCCATTTTCTTATAAGAATTTTGGTGAAAAGAGACCAAGGCAGCTGCAAAATAAGCTTTACAACTCATTTCTAGCTGGTTTATTGGCCCAAGGCATGATTCAACATTTTGCATGAATTCTCTCTATAAATAGCAGTCTTTGGAGACCATTTTCGCAACTTTGGAAGGCTAGAGAAACTTATCAAAAATGTAGTCTTCACTAGAATTTCCTTAGTTTATTAGTTAGATTAACATAGAATAGTTAGTATAGTTTATCTTTCTTGTATTTATAGTTAGATTTGGATGAAGATTTGAGGAGTAAAGATGGAGAGTTGGAACTCATGTGACAAGAGTGATTTCTCTCCTATCACTTTCTCTTTGTATCTAAGTTTATGTTTATCTATAATACAAGTTTGGATTTGTGTTTGAAATGGATTTTGATGACCCAAACTAGCAAGTTGGTTGCAAAATATGTTCAAGATTCACGTTCCTGAAAACACTGGATAGTCGATAATAAACCTTACTCGTACCTTCCAGCTCAAGAAATGTAAGCTTAATTGATGGTTTTGACATTATAGTATCACTTGCCTGGTTGAAATTGTTCTCATTTTTAGTTAATCCTTTTATTCTCAGCCAGCCAATGTTAATTAATGAAAATCCCAAGAGTATAAGTCACCTCAAGGTATTTATCTGATATGAGTCCCATCCGATTGGCATAGGGAATACTCCAATTTAATGAAAATTTTTGAGGAAGTTTCTTCGTGCTTGCCTATAGACCAATTTGAATCGCTTTATTGTCGTACTTATTGTCTTAAAGAGAGAATGAATTATGTTGAAGAAGTGTTTTATGTTTTTACAGTTTCTTTTTGGTTGAGTTGCATTGGAGATTGGAGAATTAATGACAATTTATGGTACTATATCGTTTTCACATGATCTTTTTTTTTTTGGATGAGGGTTTTCTTCAGCAAATTATATTTAATCAGATCCTTGGATCAACATGTAGGACACAATATGAAATTTGTTAATACGATTCTTTAATTTTTTATTTTGAAAAATTAAACTATAAAGGGGGCCCTCACCTTATGGTCCAACCTTCTCTTGCTAACATAAGAAGCGAGTAAAGACGAAAAAATCGTTCACCCAACAAATGTGGTGCAGGTCAATCAAATCCTTTAAAGGGCAAGTGTTTGCCCGATGGCCACCCAATCTATTCGATTTAGTCGTTTCTTACCAAAACATAAAAGTTGTAGATAATCACAACAACTCAATCTGTTTTTTTCATTATTTCAACAAAATGGAGGCAATTAAGGGAAAAAAGTGGGCGCAATTAAAATGATAAAAGTTATTAATTTAGTCATTTATGGGAAGAACAAAACCTTGACTAGACAGATGAGTTTATATTTTTCCTTATGAATTATGTGATGGATTTGAAAATCAACAGCCTTTATATATGGTTTTTTTTTTTCACATTGTGCATAGGATAATCCAGAAGAAAAACAGTGTAAAGGAAGAGAGAAATTAATATAGTTGAATATAAGGAAAAAAAAAAAGATGTTATGCTTTCTATATATTCCTCCTATTTATATGGATGGAAACTTAAATTTTCATAAAATTCATGCTTCAATCAAGTACCAGTGTTTCATGATCAATGAGCAAAGGGAAAAAAAAAAAACTTTACTAAAGATAAATAACAATTTTATTTATGGTCTCGATATCAAATGCATTACAACCTTATAACTGGATGCACAGAACACAACGCAAAACTTATAGCAATCGAAAACTTTGAACTAAGGTTTTTGCCCTGACACATGATTAGGGCACCTTATTAGAAGAGATCCATGCAGCAAAGACTTAGAATTACTTTGACATTATTAAAAAAAAAGATACATGAGAATAACTCAAGAGTCGAGACCACAATCTTTTATATGTATTGAAAAACTTGCAAACATAGCTAGGTAATTAGGGGAAATCCATTAGGGTTTAACTTTGGAAGGACCTTTTATATTTTTTCAAAACTACATTCTCAAACAAGAACTGAGATATGTCTGCTGCCTAGATCTGGCTCTTAACTTCATCCTGAACCTTCTTTTTAAGCCCTTTCAGTGCCTTCTCCAACTTCAGAAGTTGCTCCAGATTCATCTCTTCAATTGGAGCCTGCCACTAATTCTTGTGCTGGCCTTCTTGTATCATCTGAACAAGAACTTCTTCACGTTTTTTGTTGGCTTCCAATTGTTTCTTAAGGTTGATAATTTTATTGAGCTCAGAAATGTTATCACCATGGTGATTGGGAACAACATGGTGATCAGTGCCACCGTGGATGCTAGGTGATGCCTTGTTTCCAAGGAACTTATCAATGGCAGATTCGAAAGATGAATGACCAAAAGCGTAAGCCTTTTTCCCAGGTGAGAACACCAACAGAGCAAGTTCTGCACCATTAAGAGTGCAAAGTTTGCTGGCTTTCATGAAAAGGTCATTGCGACGCTTTGAGAAGTTATCATGGAGATTGTTCTTTTTCCCCATTTCAACTACAGGAACCTTTTGGTAACCTCTAGTTAATTTTTCGGCCGTGACTTGATCTGTTCAATTCACAATGTCAATATTTATAGGGTTTTTTTCATGCCATTGATGCCGCTTTTCCTACTGTGACCTTGTCTTATATGGAAACAAATTAATTCACTTTGGAGTCATATTTATCCTCAATCTAACGCATTAATGGTAGGAAAGCAAATTTAAAACATACCAAATCAAGCCTCTGAACAATTGTTCAATTAACTTCCACGTGTCAAAGATTTGCATTAAATTTTTTTCCTAATCTAGTTTCTAAACAGTTTTACAATCAGTATCCATGCATGTGGGAGAAATTCAATTAAATATTTTTTTCTCAAATTGAACTGCTTAGTTTTCAAAATCTAAATATTACTTGTCATTATAGATCTACCTTGTGTTTAAAACTCGGACCGGATCGGACAAGTGTCCAGTCCTAGTCATGCTTAAAAACCGCGTAAGTAAAAAAACTGGTCAAATACGGTCAAAATCCGGGTTGATCAGGAAAAACCGGATTTTCTAGTTCAAACAGTTTTTACAAAAAAAAAACTCAAAATTTTTCAATATTATGTTTTGACCCCTAGATTGTTAAAAATTATTAATATACCTCAAATATTTCATACTTTATCAATATTTTCTTAAAGTTTGGTATTGTTTTTCAATTAAGTCCATAATTTTAATTCTAAACTTGTTAATGTTCATTAAATAATATAAATTGGTACTTGATTGTTCTAATTTCTTTTTATTTTCTCGTTAAATATATTTAAAATATCAAATATATATGAATATACCTTTATTAATATTAACATGTTATTAGGCATTTTATGACAGGTGCCGAACCTGTGCAATAATAATTACTAAAAGTCCTAATTACCACCTCAATTAAATAATTATAGAACAAATCCAAGTACTGGAGCAGGGACCCTAGGTGTGCAATGGGTTACTTGATTCACCCTGTTTTCGAAGAGTTTGCTTGATCCGATATACCGGATTTGTCTATAAAAATACTAATTTTGCGTACAATGGCAAGTAGGGTCGATTCCACAGGGAGCAGGTAGGAAATTATTTCTTTCCAAATTAGTAGAACGAAATTGGGGGATTTTCAATGGGAGGCAAATAAAAATAAAATAAAATAAAACAAACAAAATTCAAAACTAACTCACAAAGCACAATTCACCAAAAACAGCAATTAATAAAAGTTCTACTCAAAGGATCAACTGCTCAGGCACGGTCCAATTAAATGATCATCGATGCAAAGATATTTCATCCATTTATCACTAGGTTGGTTATAGCCATCAATAAGCTCTGACAACCAGCTCTTCCTTACTTTTTCGACAGTCAAGGTACGACCATTGACTGCTTCTCTAACCAGATAACAACCCTAGGTACGACCGTAGGAATTTAATTATCCAATTGCATTAAAACTAGAAAACCCAACCCTAACCAATAAACACGCTAAGAGAGTTTATTTAAATTAGATCTTGTGTTTCCCCATCATAAAACCAATTATGGTGGTTGCCACGAGGTGTTAACTAAATGAACAATTACGGATTCTATTTAATTAACGTGGCAGTAGGCTATTAAATTAAATCAAATACCCGGCCGTTGATATTCAATTAATAAAATACCCATGAACAATTAATTCAGGAAACGCACGAATAGCAATAAATTGGGAGAAATAATGAAGATTCGGTTAGATCTCACAGATGTGATGGACCGCGCCCTCGCGCCAACCTTTGGATAGAGGGGGGATTAGCCGCTCCTCATCATGTCAAGCTCACGCAATTTAATTGATTTCATCCCCGCAAACATCAAAGAATCTGGATTGGTGAAGTAGTGCAGATAGAAAAAAAAGTGAAAAGTCTCGCTTGACTCTGCGTGGGAGTCCGTACTGGATTCCCCAAGTTCAATGCCAAAACCAACGGAAGTTGAATAAATTTGAAAGCGAAAAGCAAAGGAGTCAGACGCAGACGCCAAAAACAAGGGAAAGAAAAGTCTTCTGTGTCTGACCCTATTCGGCCGCAGAAGAAACAAAAGAAAAATAAAAGCGTTTGACAAATCTTCCCCTAAGAAAAGTAGAAAAAAGAGAAACTAAGGCTAAGAGTAGTGATCCTTTGAATCTTGCTTTTTCCTTTCTTTATAGCCGCTGCAGGAACTCTCAGACGTCTGGCCCAATTCAAAAGCTAGCTTTTTGGAGTTTTTATCCCATACTTCTCGTGGTTCACGTGGACCGCAGTCCGGCTTTCGGTTTCGTCCACCTTCTAAGGCGTGGTCACGCCCTGAGACGAAAAGTCTCCTGAAAATTTACCCTGCGAGATCATTTTTCATGCCTACCATCTACAATTCACACAAATATCGAATATGAGTGAAATTTCAATTCTTAGCACCATGAATAGCCAAAATTAGGACAAAATAACAGTGCAAAAAATGCCAAATAACCGTTCTATCAAATCCCCCCACACCTAGACAATGCTTGCCCTCAAGCATTTCGGAGCTCAGAAGTACAACCAAGATAGCAGAGGTCATGTAGTAGTCTACACTAACACAAGCATCTAGGGTCCCTGACAATATCACCAAAGGTAGAACACACCGGACATGTTGTAATTCAAACAATATATATGAATACTAGGAACGCTCAATTCAACATCACGGAATGCCATTACCATAGGCTTGCACATTTATCACATCTCCACCACTTAAAAGTGAACCAAACACATAAATCAAAGGGACTTTAATAGGGTTGTAATGGGGCTCAGGTGAAAGGCGGGTGAAGAAGGTATAGATAGGGGTAAAGTGTCAAGAGAATGTTCGAATCTCACCAATAACCACAGTGCTTTACCAGAGGAGTTTCACTAATAAGGCAGTTTCCATTTGCTGTACACCCTGTACAAGTGCCCCAAATTTTTTTTTTTTTTTTTTTTTTTTTTTTAGAACTGTTCGCAAGGCGTGGGCACGCCTTGTAGCCCATAGTCCTCTGGTCACGAGGTCTCTTTAGGATTTTTTTTTTTTTAAGGAGAAAGTCCTGTAAGGCGTGGGCACGCCCTGTAATCCAAAGTCCTCTGGTCAGTGGCCTTTTTCCAATATCCCCTCCTTTATACAAGGATAGCATCATATAGCTCCTAATCTAACAGCACTTGCAATCCCAATTTTGTTTGTTTTGCACAAATGATGGAATTCAGGCATCCCTTGACAACACAGGGGTAAACAAGAAAGTTTAAACAGGTCTTGGGTTAACGAACACGGATATCAACCAGAAACGAAGGACAAAAGCTCAAATTGGTTCACTATCGGGAGATAAGATGAGGGCTTGATTTTTTTAGGTAGCTGAAGAGGGTTAAATCCTAAATGCCCTTATCATTTCAAATGCATCCAATTCAACAAAAAATGTGGTCTTGACATGCATAAACTAGCAAGTTCTAGAATGCCAATACCATGTGTGATACCACTTAATCAAACAAAATAGAGCAAACAAGAATAATATGCTCAAGCAAGGCTCAAAAGCTCCCCAAAAGTTACAAGAATTGGTCAATTCCTGCATATTCAACATTCAACAACATTGCCAAGGGAAACAAAATGCATAGCTAGCATACTTGATCACATAACCACTCACTTTGATTGTGTCCTTCATCACAGCAACACGCCCCAACACTAACAAGCATAGAAATAACCAAAAAGCCGACTAACTACAATGTTTTTCATTTTTCATTTTTTTTTCATTCAACCCATGTTTTTTTTCTTTTTTTTCGAGTAACTAATGAAAAGAACCAAGTAACTAATGAAAAAGAACCAATGGAAGCCACTCCCCCCACACCTAAGACCTACATTGTCCTCAATGTAGAAGAGACAAATAAAGTATTAGGAGGAAAGAGGAGAAACTTCCCTGACCACCGGGGAGGGAAAATGAGATACTAAGGCGGAGGGGGGTGAGGCGGGGTGAATCCAATGTGAGCGAAGAAGGCCGCCTGATTCTCTGCCTGAATGCGGGCGAAAACCTGGAGCGCTATAAGGCGGCCATCTATCCTCGACAGTTGGGTGTTGAGCTCATCAACACCCACTTGGAGGTCCGGTAGCGGGGGTCCCCAGCAGGAGGAGGATAAGAGGAGGACGGGCCCGCCTGATCCGGATGGGGTGGCGAGTCAGTGGAGGGTGCAGTGGTGGGCACCCGAGGCCGTGGATCGTCATCACCAGGGGCCGTAAACTGATAGACATCGCCCACTTTGCAAATAACCCCTATTCGCTCCAAACTGCGCAAATCCAGTAGCTCAATCTCTCGAGTTAGGGCGAAATTGTACTCCTTGTCGAGATCTAGCAATCCCAATCGGATGGCCAAGTGGGTAATGAGCGAGCCTAGGATAATCGATTTATTGCGCTTATGAATGACTGACTCCATTTGAGTGGCTATCCAACACCCAAAATTAACCTTAACATTGTTGCACATGCACCAAAGGAAGTAGAATTCTGCTTTGGTAAGGGTGCCGGAGGAATCCTTCTGCCCCGAGAAATTGTGAGCCAGGAACCTGTGGACGACCTTTAAGACCGGATCCTTCAGTGAGAGATCTTGGACTGACTCGGATTATAAACTTGCCGATCCGTGGACCACTCCCTCCAGATGTCAATGTATTCAGTTCTGAACGGTCTGGTGTAGTCACAAGCACTATTGATATACGCTCCGGATGCAATGGTATCCTCACTGACAAACCCCAAAGTCAGATTAAATTCATTGATGGAAAAACTATACTGTGTGCTTTTAATTAAACTGAATAATCTCTGGCTCATCAAAGTGATGTATTCATTCCTGATAAACTCGAAAGAGCAGTAGAATTCACAACAAAACTCCTCAAATGTGGGGTAGTTAATGGTGAGATACTTTTGCCAGCCGATTGCCGAGAACATCTGTTCAACCTCTCTTGCAGTTCGCAGATGGTCTAGGGTAGGGGCATGAAAGCACTTACAAGGGGCAAAAGGTCGATTCACCAAGGTGTTAAATCGGTCCTGTTGGACCTCTGTAAGATTAGTGATCGATTCCTCCCACTCCCCAGGGGACATGGTGCTCTTATTCAGGCCCAAACGGGACCGAATGGTGGGTTGAACCGGGGCTCGTCTCTTACGAGGCTGGGAGCCAGACGGCCAGCAGTGGTTGCCTTCTTAGGAGGCATTTAGGGACCACAGACAGAGTAAATTAGCTTAGATACAGCCAACCAACCACCAAGAAACAGATAGGGGACCACGGACAACCGAAATTACTAAGTATTCAGCAGCTCACAGCAAAGGGGGACAACATTACCCCATCAAATACCAACCAGACAACAAACACCAACCAATGCCCCACTGCCGTCAATTAGCCGACAACAATAAAGAAGACCAAACCAACTCCCCTAAAAATCAAAATATCAGTCAACAATCAGCGAGCTACTGATCACGTGTAACAAATAATAAATTCACCAGAGCCCCCAGATGTCTCAAGTATATAATCAACCCCAGGCAGGTACGTGGACTCACACTTTCAGACAACAATGAAATGGTCCCCCAAAACAAGCAGTTATTGTCTTGTTAACCCAGCAGGAAGCGTAAATTTATCACAAAAGAGGTACCAATTTCTGCTCTCAATAAAGGAGAGGGACATACGACGGGAGGGTGGCTGGCCGCGCAGCAGGGGACTGGCCGGCAGGGCAGATCGCGTGTGCCGGGACGCGCTGCGGCTTCGTGCGCGATGGAGGTGCTGGCGCGCAGATGCACTGGTCGCGCGCTGTCCCGCCGGGCGGCAAGGTCGCGCGCCTGGCAGAGGTGGGTCGCGCGAGTTGGGGAGAAGCTGGCGAGTGCGGGTCGCTGGGCTGTGTTTCGCAGCGCGCGTAAGAGGATCTGCTGCTGGGTACTGCGGCCGCACGCGGCTGGTGCTGAGGAACGCGCGTCTGCGAGGTGGGCTGCGCGCTGCAGGCCGCGCGCGGATGCTGAACTGCGCAGGGGGAGGCGGCTGCTGCAGATCTGGTAGTCGCGCACGATGAGTGAGCTGGGGGCGCGAGGTCAAGCGGCGCGCGCGGCGTGCGGCTATGGCTCTGGTCTGCTGTTGGGTGAGAAGGGACACGCGAGGCAGCGCGCAGGCTGGGCCTTGGCGCGGCGCGACCTAGTGGAGCGGCCCGGCGTGAGCAGGTGGCGGTGTACGGCGACGGGCAGCTACGGCCGACGTGAAAGATGGAGCGGCAGCGGACGGCAGCGGCGGGCTTCACAAGCAAGAAAAGAGCAGAGAGAAAGTGAAATCACAAGATTACAGAGAAATTGGAAGACTAATTGCTCAATTCACGGACAGTGACAAGACTAGAAAAAACAAGACAAGAGAAAAGTGAAAAAGTAGGGTCTTGGTCAAAGCCTCTTTTTTTTTTTTTCGCTATCGGAGGGGTTGGAAGGCGTGGGCATGTCTTGGAGGGCATAGTCTTCTGACCACAACATCTAAATGATGTCCAAACGAATTTCCGTTCAGGCGTGGCACGCCTTGGAACTGCTAGTCTCCAATTTGCTCAGGGCACCTGGCGCAACCTCTCCAAGGCGTGGGCACGCCTTGGAACCCCTATTCTTCTGTCCAACCCACAAAAACAGTCAAAACATTAAAATGAAACTGAAAAATTGCAGAGTAATGCAGAATGATCGCAAACTAATATTGTAATCCTTGAGTTGCCTCACAAGCAGCGCCTTTCTTTAACGTCTTTGGCTAGACATGGCCTTCAACTGTTTAGACCTCACCACTTGGATTATCAAGGAATAGAACCTCCACTTGCTCACTATTAAACCCTTCATCATAAGGCTTTAGACGGTGACCATTGACTACGAACCTTTTCTCTGTCTTAAGACTTTCGATCTCCACTGCACCATAATGAGAAATATTAGTAACAACAAATGGACCAATCCAACGGGAACGCAAACTTACCAGGAAAAAACTTAAGTCTCGAGTGATACAGTAGGACTTTTTGCCCTACGACAAATGACTTTCTCGAAAACCTGTTGGTCATGAAAAATTTTACTCTTCTCCTTATATATTGCAGCGTTCTCATAGGTTTCATTCCTTAGCTCCTCCAACTCTTGTAATTGGAGCTTTCTATTTCTTCCGGCCTCCATAAGGTCCATATTACACCGCTTGAGCGCCCAATGCCTTATGTTCAAATTCTACTGGTAAGTGGCACGGCTTCCCAAAGACTAACCTGTAAGGGGACATTCCAATTGGCGTTTTATACGCGGTGCGGTAAGCCCAGAGAGCATCCTCCAATTTCACACTCCAATCCTTTCTATCAGGCCTCACCATCTTCTCCAGGATCGACTTAACCTCTCTATTCGATACTTCGGCCTGACCATTCGTTTGGGGATGGTAGGGAGTGGACACTTTGTGGAGCACACCATACTTACGAAACAAAGCAGTGATCGTCTTATTACAGAAATGGGTGCCCCTGTCACTCACTATGGCTCTCGGCATTCCAAAACGGACGAAATGTTAGATCTTATAAAATCTGCAACCACTCGAGAATCATTAGTCCGGGTGGCTTTTGCCTCCACCCATTTGGAAACATAGTCAACAGCAAGTATAATGTACAAGAAACCAAAAGACGAGGGGAAGGGACCCATGAAATCTATACCCCAGACATCAAAAATCTCAACAAATAATATGGGGGTTTGACTCATTTGTCTTCGAAGATATTCCCCACCCTTTGACACTTATCACAAGATTTGCAAAACAAATATGCATCCTTAAACAGAGTAGGCCAATAAAAACCACTTTCTACACTTTACGAGCTGTCCGCTTTGGACCAAAATGCCCTCCACATGCAAACGAATGACAGAAAGTCAAAATAGAGTGAAACTCACCTGCACTTACACACCTTCTTATCACTTGGTCGAACATTGCCTCCACAGGTAGGGGTCATCCCAAAGGTAATGTTTGGCATCACTCTTTAGCTTATCTCTTTTAGCTTTTGACCACCCTGCAGGTAATTGATTTGTTACCAAAAATTGACAATGTCAGCGTACCAAGGTATTGACGAATCAATGGCTAATAATTGTTCCTCAGGAAATGATTCTCTTAACGGTAGATCCTCTTGATTTGTGAGCAACCGGCTCAAATGATCAGCCACCAAATTCTCAGCTCCGCTCTTATCCCTGATTTCTAGGTCGAACTCCTGCAGGAGCAAAATCCACCTGATCAGCCTTGGTTTAGCATCCTTCTTCGCCAGCAAGTACCTCAAGGCTGCATGATCAGAGAAAACTATTACTTTTGCACCCAATAAATATGACCTAAATTTTTCTAGTGCAAAAACAACAGCTAGTAATTCTTTCTCCGTCGTGGAGTAATTAAGTTGGGCTCCACTTAAGGCTCTCGACGCGTAATAGATCGCGTGTGGCTCTTCCAATTCTTTGTCCCAACACGGCCCCCACGGCATAGTCACTCGCGTCGCACATGATTTCAAACGGAAGGCTCCAATTGGGGGTTGAATGACAGGCGGCGATGTCAATGATTCCTTCAGTTTATCAAAAGCCACCTTGCATTCATTTGTGAAATCAAATGGCACGTCCTTCTGCAGTAACTTGAACAGGGGTGCTCCTATCTTTGAAAAGTCTTTGATAAATCTCCTGTAAAAGCCTGCATGGCCCAAAAACGAACGCACTTCCCGTACACATACGGTAAGGTAGAGCAGAAATAAGGTCTATTTTAGCTTTATCTACCTCTATTCCCTTAGCCGACACGACGTGCCCTAAGACAATGCCATGATCTACCATAAAGTGACACTTTTCCCAATTAAGCACCAAATTCGTCTCTATACATCTTTTCAGAATTAAGGCCAAATTCTCAAGGCATTCATCAAAACTGTCCCCGTACACACTAAAATCATCCATGAATACCTCAATTATTTTTTCCACATACTCAGAGAAAATACTTACCATACACCTTTGAAAGGTTGCTGGAGCATTGCAAGGCCGAAAGGCATCCGGCGGTAGGCAAACGTGCCAAATGGGCATGTGAAGGTAGTCTTTTCCTGGTCTTCTGGTGCGATCGCGATCTGAAAGTAACCTGAAAAGCCATCCAAGAAACAATAGTAAACACGACCTGCCAATCGTTCTACCATCTGATCAATAAAAGGAGGGGGAAGTGGTCCTTTTTAGTCACGGAGTTTAGCCTCCGGTAGTCGATGCACTGACGCCAGCCAGTAGCTTTCCTGACCGGGACCATATCACCCTCCTGGTTCTCCTCCACGGTCACTCCGCCTTCTTCGGGACCACTTGGACAGGACTCACCCACGGACTATCCGAAATAGCGAAAATGATCCCTACCTCCAGAAGCTTGAGTATCTCCTTTTTCACAACTTCCATCATCAGAGGGTTCAATCTTCGCTGTGCTTGCCTCACCGGCTTTGCATCATCCTCGAGTCTTATCCGGTGCATACAAGGACGGGCTAATCCCTTTAATATGCTATGCTCCACCCAATTGCCTCCTTATGCTCCCTAAGGATTCGCACCAGTCTGTCTCTTGACTTGGAGATAGGTGTGCAGAGATGATCACCGGAAGTGTCTCCCGTCTCCTAGGAATGCGTACTTTAGATGCTTCGGGAGGGCTTTAGTTCTAACTCCGGTGCCTGCACAACTGAAGGGAGCAACTTTGTCTGAGCCTCTGGCACAAAAAGAGAAGTAAGCTCATACCTTGGGGATACGGGTGGAAGTGAGTGTAAGGCTTCAACAGCATGGAGCAAATCTTCCCTTAGGTCCACATCAAGAGTTACACCCAACTCCAGATGCTTGATTAGAGCCACTTCCAATGCGTCTTTGCCATCTAATTCGAAAGTTTCCTGCACAAAAGGCTCAATAACGCTCAAAGCAAAGACCGAGTTAGATTCTTCTGGATACTTCATCGCCTAAAAATATTGAAATTCACAGTTTCACCATCAAATTCCATTGACAAAGTACCCTCATTCACATCTATCTTAGTCTGGCAGTGCTAAGAAATGGTCTACCTAACAAGATAGGTGACGGGTTTAATGATTTTTCATCTCCCATGTCCAAGATATAAAAATCTGCAGGAAAACCAATTCATTTACCTGAACCAAGACATCCTCAACTAGCCCCTCTGGATATGCATTTGTGCGATCAGCTAGTTGGATTATGATGGCTGTTTCTTTAAGTGGCCCAAGATTTAGAGAAGCAAAAATGGTCTTTGGCATCACATTGATTGACGCCCCTAAATCTAACATTGCTTTCCTGATCGGTGTATTCCCTATCTTACAGGGGATCGTGAACATACCTGGATCTCCACACTTGGGTGGAAGCTTTCTTTGGAGCATTGCTGACACATTCTCTCCCACCGCTACTCTTTCGTCCCCTCTCAGTTTCCTCTTATGGGTGCATAGATCCTTGAGAAATTTAGCATATTTCGGTATCTGCTTGATTGCATCCAGTAAAGGGATGTTAATCTCCACTTTTCGGAACACATCTAAAAGCTCTTTTTCCTTCTCTACCTTTTTTGTCTTCTCCAGCCTGCAAGGAAAAGGAGGTAAGTTAGATTTAATAGTGGGCGGAGAAGTGAAGGTTACCTTAGGATCCTTGCGAATACGCCCTTCCTCTTCAATTTCCTTCTCTATCTCCTCTTCACTTTTGCTTTTTGAACTTTCCACTTTGGCCCTTCCAGTTCCTTGCCACTCCTCAACGTCATGGCACTTACATTTTTGGGATTTACCTCGGGTTGCGATGACAGTTTCCCATAAACGTGGGACTCCAAGCGATTGATGGCAGTTGCCAGTTGCTTATTCGAACCTCTTGGTCCTTCTTGTCAGCTTTGGTGTCCTGCTGGAGCTGCGCGGTATTCGCGGCCAAGGATCTGATCTCCTGTTGAAACTGGGTATTAGTCGTGGCCAAGATTTTGACTAGGTCCTCCAGGGAGCTTCCTGAATTGGAGGACGAGGGTTGAGATTTTGATTGCCATGGCTGGTGGAATCCTGGTGGACGATTCGGAAATGAATTTTGTTGCTTGTTCCCATAACTGAGATTGGGATGGTCCCTCCAGCCCGGATTGTACGTATTGGAGTACGGGTCGTACTGCCTGTGGGGCGCGGGCACGCCTTCGGCCATGTTTACCTGTTCCGCCCCGTCCTCTTGCAAAATGGGGCACGTGTCCGTGCAATGGTCCATGCTGGTACAAATTTCACACACCTTTGCTCGCGGCGTGTCTCTCATGGCTAATTGCCTAACAACAGACGTCAATTCTGACAGTTGCTGCTGTATGGATGAAGTCTCTACCTCGTTGATTCTACGGGGAGGCTTGCTCTCACGTAAACCAAATTGCTGGGAGTTCTCTGCCATGGCTTCGATGAGCTCCCACGCTTCTCTCGGTGTCTTGTTTGCAAGTGCTCCCCCTTTCGCAGTATCAATGATACTCCTATCGGTTGATTGGAGCCCTTCATAGAAGTATTGGATTAACAGTTGTTCACTAATTTGATGCTGCGGGCATCTAGTGCACAACTTGTTAAACCTTTCCCAGTATTCATACAAGGACTCACTGGGATGTTGTTTAATGCCGCAGATCTCCTTCCTCAAACTCGCAGCCCGGGATGCAGGGAAGAATTTTTTCAAAAACTTCTTTTTTAACTGTGCCCATGTGGTAATACTACCCGTTGGTAGGTAGTATAGCCAATCTTTTGCTGCATCCTTGAGAGAGAAGGGGAAAGCTCTAAGTCTTATCTGCTCCTCAGTCACCCCAAGAGGTTTCATGTTAGAGCAAACTACCTCGAACTCCTTGACGTGTTTGTGGGGTTCTTCGCCAGAGAGGCCATGGAAAGAAGGTAGGAGGTGAATCAACCCCGACTTTAGTTCGAAAGCAGTATTCTCAGCCAAAGTGGGGAATGTGATGCATAAGGGCTGGTGAGTCAGCTCCGGGGCAGCCAGGTCCCTCAATGTTTGGGTGTTGGTCATGCTTACTTCGTCTTCCGCTGACTCGTTTGCAGTGAATAAGTGCCCTTCTTTTTGCCTCTTGGTCTCTTGCCTCCGCCTACGCGCTGCCTTCTCAACCTCAGGATCGTATACCAATTCACCTGTGCGAGAAGAACGGGACATAAACTAGCAAAAATACCAAGAAGAATAGAATAAAATAAAAATAAAATAAGAACTGAATTTAAAAAGAAATAAATAATCCAAATGTCAGCTCCCCGGCAACGGCGCCAAAAATTGACAGGTGCCGAACCTGTGCAATAATAATTACTAAAAAGTCCTAATTACCACCTCAATTAAATAATTATAGAACAAATCCAAGTACTGGAGCAGGGACCCTAGGTGTGCAATGGGTTACTTGATTCACCCTGTTCCCGAAGAGTTTGCTTGATCCGATATACCGGATTTGTCTATAAAAATACTAATTTTGCGTACAATGGCAAGTAGAGTCGATTCCACAGGGAGCAGGTAGGAAATTATTTCTTTCCAAATTAGTAGAACGAAATTGGGGGATTTTCAATGGGAGGCAAATAAAAATAAAATAAAATAAAACAAACAAAATTCAAAAAACTCACAAAGCACAATTCACCAAAAACAGCAATTAATAAAAGTTCTACCCAAAGGATCAACTGCTCAGGCACGGTCCAATTAAATGATCATAGATGCAAAGATATTTCATCCATTTATCACTAGGTTGGTTATAGCCATCAATAAGCTCTGACAACCAGCTCTTCCTTACTTTTTCGACAGTCAAGGTACGACCATTGACTGCTTCTCTAACCAGATAACAACCCTAGGTACGACCGTAGGAATTTAATTACCCAATTGCATTAAAGCTAGAAGAACCCAACCCTAACCAATAAACACGCTAAGAGGGTTTATTTAAATTAGATCTTGCGTTTTCCCATCATAAAACCAATTATGGTGGTTGCCACAAGGTGTTAACTAAATGAACAATTACGGATTCTATTTAATTAACGTGGCAGTAGGCTATTAAATTAAATCAAATACCCGGCCGTTGATATTCAATTAATAAAATACCCATGAACAATTAATTCAGGAAACGCACGAATAGCAATAAATTGGGAGAAATAATGAAGATTCGGTTAGATCTCACAGATGTGATGGACCGCGCCCTCGCGCCAACCTTTGGGTAGAGGGGGGATTAGCCGCTCCTCATCATGTCAAGCTCACGCAAATTTAATTGATTTCATCCCCGCAAACATCAAAGAATCTGGATTGGTGAAGTAGTGCAGATAGAAAAAAAAGTGAAAAGTCTCGCTTGACTCTGCGTGGGAGTCCGTACTGGATTCCCCAAGTTCAATGCCAAAACCAACGGAAGTTGAATAAATTCGAAAGCGAAAAGCAAAGGAGTCAGACGCAGATGCCAAAAACAAGGGAAAGAAAAGTCTTCTGTGTCTGACCCTATTCGGCCGTAGAAGAAACAAAAGAAAAATAAAAGCGTCTGACAAATCTTCCCCTAAGAAAAGTAGAAAAAGAGAAACTAAGGCTAAGAGTAGTGATCCTTTGAATCTTGCTTTTTCCCTTCTTTATAGCCGCCGCAGGAACTCTCAGACGTCTGGCCCAATTCAAAAGCTAGCCTTTTGGAGTTTTTATCCCATGCTTCTCGCGGTTCACATGGACCGCAGTCCGGCTTTCGGTTTCGTCCACCTTCTAAGGCGTGGCCACTCCCTGAGACGAAAAGTCTTCTGGAAATTTACCCCGCGAGATCATTTTTCATGCCTACCACCTACAATTCACACAAATATCGAATATGAGTGAAATTCCAATTCTTAGCACCGTGAATAGCCAAAATTAGGATAAAATAACAGTGCAAAATAAGCCAAATAACCGTTCTATCATTTTACATATAATATTTTCATTTTTAAATAATTTTTATTTATGACGTCATCCGATTCAACCCCTATTGAATCCGGTTGAACCCATTGACCCTTGACCCCTGAGCTTGACTGAGTCGATACCCGGTCCGATTCTAAAAACATAGGATCTACCTTTTATATTTGTTCATGATCCACTTTATCACCAAATCAAAAAGTCAACCATTTTTATTTATGAATGCCGCTCGTAATAAGTTACAAGATTAATGATAGTTGTGCTTAACATTGTTAAATTCATGTACAGGTAAAGCATAGTTGTACAAATTATTAAACTCTTCCTTATAAAATGGAAGCTTTCAAATATAACTTTTAAATATCAGAATCATAAAAGTTTTAAATAAGCTTTTAAATATAACTTTTAAATAAGCTTTCAAATATAACTCATCCATCATAAAAGTTTGAAAAAGTAAGTCTCACCTTAAATTTGGTTTCTCAGAATCATATCATTATCAAATCCTAGTCCGCTACTTCATATGGTATTTGTATACAACGTTTTTGTACATTTAAAAAAAAAAAAAAATTTCTGTACACACAAAAAAAAAAATTTCCCTTCTCACTCCTTCCTCTCCACACCTCAATCTACCACCACCTTCACCATTGGCTGCCACTGATAGCCACCTCTACCAGCACTGGCACCAGCATCGACACCAACGGTATTGATTTGACAATTTTAACATGTTAAAATTTGACAAAATTGATAGTATTGATTTGACTTAGTCATGCATTATTGCATTTATTATTAAATGGTAATGACCTTTAAAAGCGACAAGTGCAGTAACACCAAAAATTCATTGAAGGATGAAACGTCTAAAATCATTTCCAGAAAGATCAAAAATTGGTGTTAACGAATGGAGGAACTTGAAGAAGATAACAAGAACACAAGTATAATTCTATCAAAGGAGGGATCATATTAATCACATGTCGCCAATAAGATGCTGCACTGGTGGTCACATGGCCACTTTTATAGCTACAAACAATTCCTTCCCAGTGGCAACAATCAACATCGTCAATATTTCAAGACATGAGTCGACTCGAGAGACATTTTACATCTTTTTTAAAGTCTATAAGAGCTTATTTTTTCACTTGCAAGGCAAGTTGCATCAATATATTTGCTTGACATGCGATGAGTAAGAACTCAGAGAAAGAGCTTGATCGACTCATGATCATGTGGGTGTTTAATGACATACTACACTAACACTGTCTATTGCTCGATAGAGGCAGTAATACTCCTTCAAAGATTGAAGATATCGAAGTCAATATCTAAAGCACTACGCAGTTGTGCTTTATTACATTAACAACCACGGACGGGGCCGCCCCACTAAGTTTCAGCATTTGCATTTTTGGGCTTCAAAATTTGCGAAATTTTTGTAAGAAATCCCGATTGCCCCATTGCCTTGCCTTTAAGCTCTGCTCCTCTTCAAACATTTTTCGACATTGCATGTGGTAAATGGTTTACTGTTCATAACTTTGATTTATGCTGTCAAATGGAATTCTCTAAATAATTGAATTTTGCATCATTTTAGATTAATGACTGAATTTTATTTGTAAATGGCGTAGCAAGACTTGGGTTCTAGCTTTCATTTGTTAAACTATCTTAATAATACTCGATTGCAAAGTTTTACAGTTTCATTTTCCAAAAACATGAAACATTTTTAGGAAAACTATTTAACTTTACTTCCAAATTAAACTCTGAAATGTAGTTAGTGTCAAAGTTTGACATATCGGTCGATATGACAAAAAAATAGAAAACATAAGGATATACATATTTTGATCAATACCAAAACTTTCATTGGGCTGGATTCCTTGTGTGACAGAAAGAAAGGAAAAAAGGTAAGAAGGTAGAGGAATATTTTTGTAGCACTTCCTTTTGCACATCTAAGAGAAAAAGCTCATCTCACTAGTGAGATGTTTTTGTCCCTGAATTAGGGCTGTAAATAAATCGAGCTGCTCACGAGTAACTCAAGTTAAATTTAACTCGAATTTGATCAATATCAAACTCGTGTTGATCAAGTCGAACTCGAGTTGATGAAGTCGAATTCGAACTCATATATAGACCGTAACCCAATCTTATTTTTCTGCTAACTACAATACCTCTCAAGTTTTTGGCTAAGAAATTATTTTTAACTGTAAACAACATGTTTAATATATGCTAAATCCAAGCTATTACAAACAAATCAATAGTTGCAAGCGAAAGAAGACTTGACAAACTAATCTGTATCTCCTTATCAAACAGTAAAAATGTTCCCTTTGGAATTTATTTGGATGGCCTTCTGCTTCAAATGAGAGCAGTGGTATGGGATTTGCATCATGATCGAGCAGCACAAGCCATCAAGGTAGGAATGCATATTCAATCAGGCTATTTAGAAGAATAGTGCCATATTGAGTTATTGTTGGTTCAACGGGAATGAGAATCCAGGGAAACAATCTAGATCAAGTGGACTCCTATCTTGCAGGGGGATTTGCTTATTTGTTTTGATATCTGACAAGTTGTCGAAGCCTGTGCAATAATAAAAATAAACCTAGTTGCCAATCGGAGTAATCAAAACTCAATTCCAAGTACTGGAGCAGGGACTGTAGGTGTGCAATGGGTTACTTGATTCATCCTATTCCCGAAGAGTTTGCTTGATTCGATATACCAGAATGGGATTGCTTATTCACAAATAACTATTGCTTTGTAAACAGGGTAAGTAAGGTCGTATTCTCAAGGACTGGGAGAAAATTCGTTTCTTTTCAAGTTCGGGACACGGGGTATTTTTATCGGAATAAAAATAAGAACAATTAAGCAATACAACCAAAACAAACAATTAACAAGTACGAATGTAGACAGAAATTAAATCAATAATAGACAAACTCTAGCCAAGGATATAACTATTTAGACGCAGTCCATTCATCCGATCATCAATGCAAGGAAGGTTCACTTAATTTATTAATAGGTTAGTTATAGTTACCGACGAGCTCTGACGACCAGCTTTTCCTTAGTTTATTGATAACCAAGGTACGACCATTAATTACCCCTAACCAGGAAACACTCCTAGGTACGACCGTAGGAGTTAATTCTCTAACCGCATTAAGAACTAGAAAAACCTAACCCCGATCAACACGCTACCAGGGTTATTTAAATTAGATTGCACGTTTCCCTATCGTGTATAAACGCTAGTTGCCACAAATATTAATCAACTAAACAATTACGAATTTAATTGATTAATTTGGTAGGAGATTAATAAGTCA